GTGCGTATAATAAGTGTTAGTGAAAGAAACTCGGCGTGTCATCAAAACACGACCGAATGTTTATGTATGTGCATGTATGGAACTCAGTGTGTCATCAAGACACGACCGAATGTTTATGTATGTGGAGGTATGGAACTCGGCCTGTTGTCAAATTTCAGGGCAGATTTATCTTAGTGTGGTAGACTGCTCTATCCTCTTACTGTTTCAAACCAGTCTTTAGTCAAACTTGTCGTACTCGGTATGTGGCCGGCCACAACTTTCACGACTAAATATAATGTTGTGTCTAAGTAATGCGGAAGGGTTCGTATTACCAGAGAGGGTCTCTGGTATTACTTCAGTGTTCACAATACCCTAAAACACAGGCTTTAGTCTGTTTACAGACAGATTTGTCTGGGTGCGGTATAGGCCTTAGGAGTTATTCCCCTCACCTTTGTGAGGAAGACTCAACCAGTGTACACGTAATTGTTAACTTACATAAATGTGCTTGTGATTGCTTATGAGAGTGGCCCGAACGAAAGGGGTGAACAGGGTATTTATTTGACAATGAAACAGTTGTGCACATGTCCTTTTCACCTCTGTGGAGTAGACTGTACGAGCCTTATTTCAAGTTTACATAATCAGTGCTTGTGACTGCTTATGGAGTAGCACAAAGGGGAGAACATGGTATTTATATGGCAATAAAACCGTTTCGAAATTTGTGCACACTGTTTTGGTGATTATAAACGTGTATTTACATTTAATTTGTGAGGCCGATTTGTAGGAGTGAATTTGACTGGTACGATGTTCCAAAATTAGGAAGAGAAGCAATGATTATTTTATTTGATAGACACTTTGACTCTGACCCTAAAATAGTTCAATTATCGTTGAGGATTCACTTTTTAACTAAATAGGGGGGGAAATATCGGGTTTGCACGGCTACCTAGCCATGTGGGCATCCGAGGAAACGAGCAGGACGACGGAATACTTGTCAATTCACTTGTTAAAGCCACAGAATGTCACTGACAGACTTTTAAAATAAGTTACACCTCCGGTCTGTGAGAGAGAGACACTGCCGGCAGCAACAGAATGTATATTAAGCTCCAAAGTGTTATGCTCCAAAGTGACATCTTCGGGGCTCACCAGTTACAGGCAAACCCTGTTATTGTCACAGTAGTCACCGTATTGTACCTTACTCTTTCGTAATCACGGGACGTAAGCGCCCCGTATGCCATGGGCTTTTGGTTAATGTTACTCACTTCGGGGATCAACATAAAAAGTCAGACGCTACACCCGGGCTAATCATTAGAATGCCTGCTGTCGTATGTGTTCGTCTCTCCAGTTTACATTCATGTGTGTATACTAACATAACATGGTGTCAGAAGTCAGTGGATAACGTGTCACAAGTGTCAGAATGCCTCATTTCAAGCCTCCTGAACCGTTTGATTTTTCCAAACCTCATGAGTGGCCCGAGTGGCGACAGCGTATGCTACGATACCACACAGCCACCAAACTGAGCGCAGAGACCGGAGCAATCCAAGTAAGTTCATTAATTTACGCTATGGGACGCCAAGCTGAACAGATATTTAACACTTTCACGTTCCCTGCTCCCGTCGAAGGTAACGATCCTAGGGACAACTTTAACACTGTCTTAGGGAATTTCGAAGCTCACTTTGTCCCAAAGCGGAATCTTATCCACGAAAGAGCAAAGTTTCATGCACGAGCACAAAACAGTGGGGAGACGATAGAAGACAATTTCACTTGGCATTTAAAAAAATACTTGGTCACTTTTTGCGAAAGCAGTGTGACTGACAAGGAAACAAGCATTGGTGATACCTCAAGCTGTGGCAAAAAGGTAAATATTTTACACAAATTCAATTTTTGTGTTTCATTGTATATTTCATACTGTAATTTTCTGTAACCGACATTGATATCAATGAAAGTTGATTAACTTGTGCATTGGAATTCAAAGATCATCTCATTAAAGACTAAATTTAAAATATTTATTAGCGACCATTTGCCAATACTGGTGTATTGTTTGGGAAAACAAACAAAACAATTTAACAAATATTTCTGTAAGTACCTCAGAACACTGGGCATACTGTACTACACTAGTGGATTTCAAAATCATTCCAGAACAACAAGATTAAATGCAGTTTGAATGGAAAATTCCCCTATTAAAAGAGACAGACATTTAGCCTTATTCCCTGTCAAATTTAACTTTTGTTTTCATTTCGTTCCTCAGCTATTCGTCCACCCAAAAGTAGCGTGCAAAGATGACACAACAGATGACCCATCTTACACAGCCAAAGAAAGTAGAAGAGAGGAGAGAATAATTTTTTTTAATTTTTTAAAAACATGTTGGAATTATAGAATCTGACAGGAAGGAATACAGAAAGTGTGTCCTGAATGGTTACAAAGCATCGGCTGAAGAAGAAGGAACGTAACGCCAACACCAGCCACGCAGAAGCTGCAACACTAGCCAGAGAAGGATACAAGAACAAGCAGGCTTTTTGTCAAAGGCTGTGAATGAAGCACCCTTTTCTTTCCTTGGATCACCATCAAAGAAATGTCAACTTTTAGTGGTGTTGTTACATTTA